AATTGACTAGGCCTTAACATATCAATTATCAACTTAAACTTAAACTGAAGCCATTTATACTGCTAAATGTAACACTATCTCAATTCCTTTTGGCAAAAAATCTTCTCCTATTCACAGAGAAGTATTTCAAGTAAACATTAACTGGAAAGCATTAACAACTAAATATTTTCACAGACTAATCAAACTGGTTATTTCTATTCAACATTCAATCTACTCTGGTAAGTATTTTTAGCTTGTTCAAGTCTCTCTCTTCTATCTTCAGTCTTCTCCCTGCAATAAACAAAGTTTAGTTATGGGTCTTTGAATGATGCTGGTCTTCGTTCGAACTTCAGCACTTCGGACAACGCCTTTGGAATCCGGCATCACTCTCGTGATTCTGCCTAACATCCAGGAATTTCTTGGCAGGAACGAATCTGCGACGAGAACAACATCTCCAACCTTGAAACTTCTCTTTAGGCCGAGCCATTTTTGCCGTTCTTGCAAAAGCGGTAGGTATTCGTGAGTCCACCTTCGCCAGAATAGATCCGCCATGTATTGTATTTGTCTCCAGCGCCGGCGGGCATAGACATCATCCTTAGCGAACACACCAGGTGGAAAACTAGGCTGTGTTTTCAATGTGAGCAGATGATTCGGCGTTAGCGGCTCGAGGTCATTGGGGTGATCTGTGTTCGTGGTTAATGGTCTCCCATTAATGATGCTTTCAACTTCGCATAGAAGAGTGTGTAGTCCTTCATCTTCTAAGAGTTGTTGCTTCACAACAGAACTCAGCACTTTTCTCACCGTGCGGATTTGACGTTCCCAGATACCGCCGTGGTGGGATGCAGCAGGCGGGTTGAAAATCCATTGCACACCCTTTCTCATCATGACTTCATTGATACGAGACTGATCCAGCTCTGACAATGCCTCACGCAGCTCTCGTTCAGCGCCGACAAAGTTTGTGCCATTGTCGGAACGAATGATTGACACTTGTCCTCTTCTTGCTTGAAAACGCCGTATGGCATTAATACAGGAGTCAGTGTCAAGAGAATGGGCTACTTCTATATGCACAGCTCTGACAGTTAAACATGTGAATAGTACTCCATACCGCTTAACCTTTGCACGTCCTCTTCTGACCTCAAAAGGTCCAAAATAATCCACACCCGTGTTGGTGAAGGGTGGTTTGTCAGGGAGCAGACGGTCTTGTGGCAGATCTGCCATTTTCTGCTCTCCTGCCTTTGCATGCAGTCTTCTGCAGAGGTTGCACTCTGAAATCACTTTTCTTGCTGCTGCATTGGCTCTTGGTATCCAATACCGTTGTCGCAATATGGCTAGGATGTGGTTCCTACCTCCATGTCCACACTCTTGATGGATGTGGTGGAGAATGAGGTGAGCTATTCTGTGCTGTTTATGCAGAATGGCAGGATGCTTGGCCTCCTCAGGCATTGCCGATCTGTTCAAACGTCCTCCTACTCTCAACACATCATCTTGCAAGTATGGATCCAGTTTGAAGATAGAACTGCTCTTTTTTACACAAGAGCCTCCCGGCTGCAAGGCTTGTATCTCCTCTGAGTAAGCTTGTCTCTGACTGTATTTAACCAGTTCCATTTCAGCTCTGGATAGATCTTCCACGGTAAGTATCCTTTTTTCCAGATTCTTCTTGTATATCACCATTTGCTGTTCAACTACTGATCTGCATTTACCTGGATCAATCTCATTCTCTTGTATGTTCTGCTCAAACTCTTTTCTCTTCTCGCTCAGGTGCCGCAACGTCCTTCTCAAGTGCAAAATCCAGGCTGTCGCTTTTTTCAGCTTATGCCAATTGGAATAATACTCAACGAGCTGGTTCAATGGATCTGTGCACCCATTTGAGTCTGTGCATGACACTGCAGCGGATGTCTTCACCTCAACATCATCTTCAGTCAAGTAAGTACACTGTTTAGGTTGTTCTGGCCATTCAACTTCTTTTTGCAGGAAACTAGGCCCCTGAAACCAGCTTTTACTTTCCAAGAAGCTCTGGATCTTCAACCCTCTTGAAGCCTGATCAGCTGGGTTTTGTGAGGTATTGACATACTTCCACTGAGAAGATGTAGTCGCTTCTCTAATGAAAGAGACACGGTTTGCCACGAATGTCTTGAAGCGAAGAGCATCGTTTTCAATGTACTTTAGTACCGTCGTACTATCTGTCCAGAAGACCGACTTCATCAGGGGAACTTCAAGTTCTTCTTTCAACATCCGATCGATCTTGACTGCAACAGTCGCTGCTGTTAACTCCATTCTCGGGATTGTGATCTGTTTGAGCGGAGCGACTCTGGACTTTCCCATCAAGAATGATACATGTTTCTCACCCCGATCATTTGTCAGCAAGAGATACGACACAACGCCATAACCATCTTGACTAGCATCTGAGAAATTGTGGATTTGAGCAACCTTTGTTGGCCCAAATGCAGGGGGTTTGAAACATCTGTTCAGACTGAGTTCTGAAAGCTTGTCTAAGTCTGTCAGCCACTTCATCCATGTCTGGCATGACTTTTCATGGATCTCTTCATCCCAACCTTTCTTCTCTTGGCAGAGATCTCTTAAAATGAGCTTGACAGGTAGCAGGAGTGGTGCCAAAAAACCCATTGGGTCATACACTGAACTGACTACAGATAAAATGCCCCGTCTTGTGCATGGCTTGTCCGGCAGATGTATTTTGAACTTGAAGCTGTCAGAACTTGTGCACCACTGTATCCCCAATGCTCGTTCCACTGGTAACTCATCATGCTCCAAATCAAGATCTTTGACCTCAGCTGCTCGTTCGTGATCGGCAATGGAACCTAGCAGAGCTCGGCTGTTGCTGACCCACTTGGTCAAATGGAAACCACCACTAGCGCACAGTGTCATCAGCTCCCTGACAAGAGTAACGGCTTTGTCTTCTGTGGCTACTGACTTCAAGCAGTCGTCCACATAGAAATTCTTGAGGACAGTTTGTGTGGCTTCTGGTGTACTCTTTGATGCTGCATCCTCCGCTGTTCTTCTCAATGCATATGACGCACAACTGGGAGATGATGTAGCACCGAACAGATGCACACACATTCTGTACTCTTCTGGTTCAACATTCAGGTTACCGCCTGGCCACCAGAGAAAGCGTAACATATCTGCGTCCGTGTCTGGAATCCACACCTGGTAAAACATGGACTCGATATCTGCCATCATGGCAACAGGCTCCTGTCTGAATCTCAGCAACACTCCGATGAGGGTGTTCGTTAGATCAGGCCCTTGCAACAACTGGTCATTTAGCGACACACCCTGGTAAGTTGCCGCACAGTCAAAAACGACTCGGAGTTTCCTCTTTTTTGGATGGTAAACCCCATGGTGTGGAATGAACCATACTCTTCCATCATTGCGAATCAACTGTTCTTCTGGAACATTTACTGCGTAGCCTTTTTCCAGTATGTTGTCCATAAATGCCCTGTACTCCTGAAAGAAGTCAATATTCCTACTAAACTTCCTCTTCAGAGAGTTAAGCCTCTGTTCAGCAATACCACGGTTGCATGGCATCTTCACCTTGTCATCCTTCAAAGGCAACTTAATGCAGAAGTGACCATCCACAAGCTGGGCTGATGTTGTCACCGTATGCATGAACTGCTTGTCATGTTGAGACTGTTCTCGTCTGTCATCACATCTTCTTTCTGGGAAATCTGCATTGTAATACTTCATCAGCATTTCTTCAACGCTTATCACAGAAATCCGGTTGACAAGGAAACTTTGTCTTTTGCCATCGTCTGACTCCTTCTCTGGACATCTGCTGATTGGTCCATTGACAACCCAACCAAGAGCGGTCTTCACAGCGTATGGTCCGTCATTCTGACTATTAATGATCTCCCATGGCTCCATGGCTTTGTACGCATTGACACCGATGAGCAGACCAACTTCTGCATCCAGTTTTGGGAGATGGACTCGACTCAGATAAGACCACTTTTCCAAATCTTTCTTCTGTGGGATGTTGGCCTTTTTTGCAGGTATATCTGGCTGAGTATACACATTGGGCAGCTGAATGTAATCTTGCTCCTCTAAGCCGCACACCTCCAGATCTGTAAGCTCATAGCTACTAACTTTCTGTTCTTGGGCTATAGTACGAAGCAGGAACTCTGTCTTTCTGCCTCGCATATTCAACTTCTTCGCCAAGTCTTCAGTGCAGAAAGTTGCTGTACTTCCTTGATCTAGAAAAGCATAGGTCTTGATTATCTTTGAGTCTTTCTTATGTTTTACCCGTACAGGTACGATGGGAAGGATACACTCACTGTTCCCGGCCCCAGTATGGTCACCTCTTTTGCATCCTGCAGACACGAGAGCACTTGTGACTTCACTTGAGCTTTGTAAGCTGTCAT